CCACCCCCAGCCCCCACGGCCAAGCCCAACCAACGGCCTCTCGGGGTGTTTGGTGGTGGGACTGGAAACCCTCCCCCAATGAATCACACCTTTTCCTTCTGCGCTCACCGGGCGGACCCACGGCGAAGCCCCCAAGTGGGGTGGGAACCCGCTTGGCCCTCCCGGGAGGCCAGGATGCCGGCTCCCCCAACCCTCCCATGAGGCACATTTGCTCCGCCAGGACTGCCGAAGGGGGCCGGTTGCCGGGCGGGCCCCAGCTCGTCCTCTCCAGCGAGAGGTCCTCTTCCCCTAAGATGTGCTCCAGAAGCCTGCCCTCTTGCAGCTGAGAGGAGCCGGGATCCCAGGCCTGAACCAGGTGAGGCTCCCTTTGTTTTAACCCAGGAAGATGTGAGCGTGGCTCACCTTGCCCACCTCCTTCTGCCTCCGTCCTTGAGACTTTGGGGGGAAATCCAGATTTAGCCTTGAGCCTTCCTAAGGAAAGACAGACCCCGACGTTTCTGTGACCTCTCTGGGCTTTCTTACTTGGCCTGAGAAAGCAGTGAGGAAGAGGTTTCTCTCCCTCCCGGGACTTTTCCCCTAGGGTTCTCAACCACACCTGTCATCAGTCTAGCCCCCTTCCTCCTCGTTTCAAAGAATCTATGCTTTCTCCAGCTTCCTTTGAATTGTATAACAGCTCAGCAACTTTCCCAGGAAAAAAATAAATGCTCTGCCTTCACTTCAGAAAGTTCCTTAAAGTGAAATAACTTCTGCTTTTCTTTTGTTTTCCCTTTCGTAGGCAGATTGAGCTCTCTTACAATAATAAAAGGAGTTGACATGCATTAAGATTTCTGACCTGAGAGTCTTGTGTAACTGCTCAGTTTTTCATACCCTATCTTCCTTTGGTTTGGGCTTCCCTAAAGTGTGGCGAGTCCCCTTGCCAATCTTGAGAACGTAAACCCAAAATTAAATCTGGTGTCAGTGAACTTTGTTCTTTTCTCATTTGTGAAAAGTTCCCCCTAAAGGATGGGTGGGACATTCTCCCAGCTCAGCTCTGGAAAGGAAGATGAGAACAAGGCGATCCTGTCCCCGAATCCAGCCAGCTACTCTAGCACCCACAGCAGCAAGCCTTTTTGTTCCTGCGGGCCTTATGAAGGGGTTGGGACTTGTCCCACCTGCCAAGGCAGTGGCAAGATCCCCCAAGGTGAGTAGCTCAAGGCCCTAGAAGTAACCTGGTACCTGGGGAAAGCTCTTAGCTAGCTAACCCAGAGCCAGTCCCTCTCTCTGAGCCTTCTTGAATGGGGTTAGATCTCCTAGGTCTTGGTTCCCCAGTCTCTGGCTGGCGGGGAGATGCTAAATCTCCCTGGGCTCCTGCAGAGACCTGCCCTAGTATTCCTCAGCCCCTGGAGGGGAGGGAAGGAGAAGGGAGGGGATGTTCAAGCCACCCTGCACTGGAGCAACTGACTGTGTCTTAGGATTCAGTTCAGGAAGTTACAAATTACCTCAGCAAAGAAGCTGGGCATGTCTGATTTGCTGGTGACGTTCAGAGATTCTTCATACCTGTTCATGGAAATTTCACTGACATTCTAGAGGTGTTGGAGGTGAGCTGCCAACTTTGGGAGCACAGCCCAGTGCTCTCAGTCCAGCCCCAGGGCAGAGGCAGCAGGCTTCTGACAGTTGCTCTATGGGGTAGAGGGATGCTTCTGGGAGGCTGGCACAGGAAATATTTCATGGCTGCTTCTGGGCCCTTGCTCACTCACCTTCTCTTTCTCTAGCGCTGGAGAAGCAGCTGGTGGCTCTCATCCCCTATGGGGACCAGAGGCTGAAGCCCAGGCACACGTAAGCCCCTCTCTCTCCCCCAGCTCCACAAACTGTCCCCACTGGGGGTTGCTCCACTTGCTGGTCTAACTCCTTTTGAACCCCTCTAATTTTTTCCCCGCTAGTCCTTCCCAGAAAGCCTGAGCCTCACTGGACTCAGTGGTACTAGCTCCTATTTCCATGGATATTCCTGGTTTAAGAAGCCCCAGCCACAGCAGATGTCACCTGAGGCCACTTGGTGGCCTTCCCTAGGCATTACTACTTCCAGGAAGCATGATCCCCTCTCCAGGATAGGCCCTCTGGCTTTGCAAATCCTCCCTGGAGGGAGTAAGTGTGCAGCTTTGGCCGTAGTCAGTTTGGGAAAGTTATTTTTCCTAAGCACTTCCCTTGCTGAGGCAGTTCAGACCTGCTTATTTTCTTCCCAGTAGAGATAGAAAGCCTACTGATCCCTGTTGTGGGACACTTCACAACCTCAGAGGTGACCCCGTTTGTGATCTGGGTCTATCTGACATGATTCCTACAGTCTCCTCCCAAGGTCCTCAGCTTCAGCCTGGGAGCCATCACCTAGCCCATCCCCCACCCCGCTGCACCAGAACTGGAAACTAGCAATACCCTTCATAAGATACTAACAAAGAGCTATCTCTTTAACGTATATCTCAATGTTGAATTACAGTGTCTGTTCTGAACATTCATATTAAAATTCAGAGCTCACAAAATGTGGACTTATTTTAGTGATACTTTAGCACTCATTGGGCTTTTGCCACATGCAAGGACTTGTGATTTAGTGTTTTTGCATGCATTCGCCCATAACAAATTCTATGAGGTCATTACAGTTGTCTCCATTTTATAGGCAAGGAGACTGAGGCTTAGAGAGATTAAGTGAACTACTTGATGTTGCTGGGTCAATGGGAACAGATAGCTGGGAATAAAAGCCAGGCATCCTATTTCCTACTCCTGGGCCACATCTGGGAGCTAAATGTGCCATTGTCAGGGGCAGTGTGCAGAAGAGAGCCATGTGGAAGGGGAAGAGTGTCTGAACCCCCCTTCCCCCAAGTTTCCTTGGTGTCCAGACTCCTCCCCTCCTCCATCCAGGTCCTGCTTTCCCACAGGAAGCTCTTTGTGTTCCTGGCGGTGCTCATCTGCCTGGTGACCTCCTCCTCTGTCATCTTTTTCCTGTTCCCCCGGTCCATCACTGTGCAACCTGCTGGCATCAACTCCTCCACGGTGGCCTTTGATGAGGCTGATATCCACCTCAACATGACGGTAAATGGGTTCCCTGGGCTCTAGCCCTCCTTTCCCAGAAGCACTTGGCTGTAGCCTACGTCCAGTGTTTTGACCCTGGACATGGGTAGCTAGAGGGACAGTGTTTTGGCCCTGAACGTTGGAGCCTGAGGAGAAACAGGGGCAACTATGAATTCCAGACAAGTGGAGAGGACTGAGACTCTATACAGCAAGGGGTCAGAATCAGGGCCAGGTAAAGACGTCTTAGAGCAAATGGGGGTGGCAGTGCCTGCAACTCCCCGGCTGGGCAGGAGAGAAGCTTTGCAGCATGAGCCTGGATCTTGAAGCCAGCTCAACCTCTTAAAGCTGACCCCTCGCCCTTAAGAGCCCCTCCAAGAGCTCCTGGCACTGATCCTCTGCACCTGGGGCCCATGGTAAGACAGCCAGGCTTTTGCAGCTGTTTGGCTTCTCCCTCCCAAGCGCGGGCCACCCTCTCTTCTCCCTTTCCTTGTCTTTATCCCCAGAATATCCTGAACATCTCCAATAGCAACTACTATCCCATCACGGTCACTCAGCTGACCATCGAGGTTCTGCACCTGTCTCTCGTGGTGGGGCAGGTCTCTGACAGCCTCCTCCTACACATTGGCCCTTTGGCCAGTGAACAGGTGACTCCTCTCTCCCTGGCCATCCCTGCCCACAAGTGTGTGGATGCATTTGATGATGGGAAGTGGGCAGCCAGAGTTGGGGCTAACCCTGTGCCCACTTGATTGACAGGTGCTTTATGCAGTAGCCTGCAGGATATGGGATGAAAACACATAGTGAGTACCCCGTGATCTCCCTTAACTTTTCTGGCCTGGAAGCCCACTTAATACCCACCAGTTTTCCTGGTTGCTTAGCAGACTCTGCAGCCAGCACCTGGCCTGTCCTTTCGTGGCCAAGACTTCAAGGTACAGTGGTTCAGGGGCCTCAGCCTCTGCCTGTTTGGACCTGGATTGGAATGAAAAATAGGCTGGAATTTGGTTAATCTTTACAGTATGTGGCCCTGACTCTTCACCCTGAATCACTGAAGAAGATAAATGTCTTGTTTTCTGCTGATAAAGGGGCCGGCTTGGGGCAAACAAATAGGTCAGAGTGACAACGCAGCAGGGCAGTCACACCCACCTTAGAGGGGAAGGGATAGGAGTGGCATCTTGGGGGCCCCTGATAGGTGGAAGGGGGTCTGGGGGGCAAGGAATCTGGGCCTGCCAGGCATCCTCCAAGTTTTCTGACAGGCTGCTTCATGCGAAACCTGATCCGTGTTTTCTCTCTTAGCAAAATCTGCACCTGGCTGAAAATTAAAGTCCATCATGTGCTTTTGCACATCCAGTAAGTAGGGCTTGGCGCTCTGGCATCCCTCCAGCCTCCCCTCAGCTCCAAATTTCTCATGGGGGGAGAAAGTCACCCAGGCTGACCCTGTGCATCTCTGTTGGCTCTTGGGAGTAGCAAGTCCAGCCCCTTTTCTAGATCTTACCTTGTTTATAAGCTATTGGGGCAACAGCCACACAGCTGTCTGGAAGCTGCTAGGACACAGGTGAAAACAGCCGTCTCAGGTACCTTGGCAGAGAGAAGGGGGAGAGGGAGGGAGACTCCACTCCCCAGACAGTAGAACAGTCCCAGAGCTTTCCTCTTCCTCCCAGACTTGGCAACAAGATCTGCTTCCTTTCCAGGGGCACCCTGACTTGTTCCTACCCAAGCCATACAGAGCAGCTGGTCTTCCAGAACTATGAATATGTGGACTGCCGCGGAAACACATCAGTGCCCCACCTGCTGATCCCTCATCCACCATGACCTGTCTGCTATCCCTTGTATTCTGGGCACCTGCAAGTTGTGTATCCCACAACTCCACGGTGACCAAGGAAGGACCATAGTGCTTTGCCGAAGGAAAAGCCCTACTTCATCATACCCTCATCCTCCACGCCTCCGCACAGATACACACACATCTTCTGATTTCCTCAGATTCTTTCAGGGACTGGCTTCAGATTCTGCCCTCAGTCTATCTTGAGGAAAATCTGACCTGACATTTTCTTGAAGTGCCATAGAGTGCCTGGAGTGATCCCTGTCTTCTCTGTACTAAGCATCTTGGTCCCAGCTCCGTCGAGGCTGGCCCTCCTCTGACTGTGGAGAAAGCTGTGGTTTTATCTGGCTTTTAAACCATGGACCTTTTTCAAGTTTTCCGCCCAGTGATAAGAAAATGACTTCAGGGACATCCAGTGCCATCTCCAAGGCCGTTTAGGGGACCATAGATTTTTTTTTTTTTTTTCTTCCTGTGCCTGTCCTGCTTTGTGACAAAGTGATATTGACAGCCTGCTTCTCTCTGGTAACTTGTTTCTGTCCATCTGTCCGTGAGCTCGGTCAAGGCCCTTTGGCCTTCTGTCCTTCCTGGTGGTGAAATGAGCCTGGATGGGCTGGGGAAAGCTGAATTCGAAGGAGGTTGGATGGAGAGGGGGAAGAGGTGACAGGACTTGGTAATGACTGTCCCTGGTTTCTAAAAGATAACCATTATCCACCTAAAACTTCTCTATAAGATTTTATTATTCATAACAGGAACCAAAGTTGGAGGGGAGGGAAAGCAGCACCTGGTGCGTTCATGTACACACACACACCCCCTAAAGGAGAAAAACAGCCAAAGCCAGAGCCATTGTAAAAGGTATTTATTACAGGAAGGTCTCAGTCCACACCCTGAGCCCCTGTGAGTGGATATGAGCAGGTCCCACAGGGAGCCCAGCTGCACTCTTCTGAAAACTTGCAGGAGCTGAAGTAGTCTGTACCCAGCTGGAATTGCTGGGCCACCCTAGCCCAGCAGCAGGGCCCACTCTGGTCTTTGACAGTATGGAGCAGCATATCAGTAGGAACTGGTCTAAACCCTTTTGTCACTTAGCTGGAGCTAAGCTCCAGCCCTTAGGGCCCCACTAGGCTCCTAGTAGAAGTAGTCTGGGTACTTTAGCAGAGCAGGAAGGGTATTTGTTCCTTAAAGATGGCTAGGTCTTTAGAGCCTGTAGTCTAGCTACTCAGGGGCTGAGCTGGGAGGATCAGTGAAGCCCAGGAGTTCAAGTTCAACATGAGCAACATTAGCGAGACCCTATTTCTTTAAAAAAAAACGGCCAGCTCTTTATCATTGAAACTGGTGGAGAGATGAGCCTGGTGGGCTAGGAAAGCTGAATTTGAAGTAGAATGGATGGAAAAGGGGGAAAGGTGACAGGACTTGGTGACCAGCTGGCTGGGGGCACAAGGGGCAAGAAGGAGTCTGTGCTGTCTCTGAGCTGAGGTCAAGGTGGTGCTGGCAGGAGCTCAGAATTCCAGGGAGTCCAGGCTGGAGCTGATGTGTGTATGCCGCACAGGATTGTAAAGGGTTTATATTGTATTCAATAAACTACATTTGACAATGTTTCAAGGTCTCCTAGGAGTGGGAAGAGAGCCAGTAGGCACTCCCTATTTCACAGTTTCTAAATGTTTCAGGGGGTGTCAAGGTCTCTCACAGGCCTCTGAGCCCCTCTGATCAGTGGTCTAGCTTTCCTGGCTTGTGAGAGATTCCTCACAGGAGTTTACTCTCCCTCTTCCTCTCGCTGTCTCTCTAAGATCTCTTCTGACTTTAATATTCTGTGCCACCCTCTGTTACCTTCCCCAGCTGCTTCCATCAGGAAACGCCCCTGGGTTGCCTGAGATGGGCTCCTTCAGGCTGAACGCAGGCCATGCTCTGCAGCCTTCAGAGCCGCAGTGAAGTGACCTGGCTGATGCCTCGGACCCAGGTCGTGATTGAGGTGACTGAAGCAGCCTTTTCTCAGCATAGGTGAAGAGAGGGCTTCCCAGGCCTTGCACCTTCCTGGAGCCTGACACCAGCCCTGCCCCCCATCACCTTGGCCCATCTCTCTCACCCATCATGACACCCAAGAACTGATTCTGGGTTATGGCACCCTGGCGCACCCACAGCCCAGGAAATAGCATTGTCTCTGAGCACTTACCTCTCAGCTTGAGAGCTGGGCACTGCAAGTGGTTTTCAGTGCTTGAAGATAAAGAATAATCCCTTACAAACCCTTTGATTTTTTTATAGCCATGGGTGCTACTAATTTTGCAAATGCTTTGAAACAGCGCCGTCCAATAAAAATATGATTTGTGCCACATTTTCAATTTTCTAATAGCCACATTTTTAAAAAGAGCTGGATGCAGTGGCTCACACCTGTAATCCCAGTAGTTTCAGAGTCCGAGGGGAGTAGATTGCCTGAGCCCAAGAGTTCGAGACCAGCCTGGGCAACATGGGGAGATGTCATCTCTACAATAAATCAAAAAATTAACTGGGCAGGGTGGCACACACCTGTAGTTGCAGCTGCTTGGAAGACAGAGGTGGAAGAATTGCCTGAGCCCAGCAGTGGAGGCTGCTGTAGCCATGAGCATGCCATCGCACTCCAGCCTGTGTGACAGAGTGAAACCCCAACTCAAAAAATGAAAAGAAAAAGCAGGTGAAAATAATTATAATAATATATTTTACTTAACCCATTCATCCAAAATGTGCTCAATATAAAATATTAACAAGATATTTTGTATTCTTTGTTTTCATACTAAGTCTTCAAAACCCAGCATACATTTTACACCTACAGCACATCTTAATTTGGACACTAAATATTTCACTTAAAAAAATTATATTTTCAGAGTCTCACTTTGTTGTCCAGGCCAGAGAAAGTAGATTCACATATTCACATTGTCCCAAACATGCTTACAGTTTTTCCAGTATATAAATTGAGTATTTGTTTTAAAATTTAAATTAATTAAATCTATTTAAAATTTAGTCCCTTAGTCTCACTAGTCATATCCCAAGGGCTCAACAGCACACAGTCTGGTGACTACACTATTGGACCTGGTACCCCTGCCCTCTCTCTGCTCTTTTTGGGACAGCTGCTGCAGCTGCTGGGCCATCAGCCACCTCCTCCCGTTCAAAACCATCTGCCGGTGCTGGCCCCCTAGTGGTAGACACTCCCCATGATGGCAGGATGGTGGAAGGCCCCAGGCAGAGTGGGGGCAGACAGAACCGAGACCCTACCCCACGGACCTCACCATCTCTCCCTCTTCCCACCCCAACTCCCTTGCCTGGGCAGGAGTGAGATGGCACTTGGAGGTGCACTGAACCATCTCACTTGGAGGTGTAACCAGAACCATCTCACCATGTGGCCACTACCAGGGCAACTAGGCAGGCCCCACCTGCGTTATCGGGGAGGGAGGTGTTCTTCCCAAGGTTCCCAGGGAACATCTGCAAAGTACCTTTCTCTCCAGGGTCCTGAGCAGGTAGAAGACACCTTCCCACTTTAGGTTTGACCCTCAGTGGGCGCCAGGGACAATTCTGCAGTAAAAGTCTTTTCTCTCTGGCTTCTTTCCCCCACAATTCCTAGGAGGCTTCTAGCGTCATCTCTGGCCCGCTGTCCACTGCTCTCCACTAAGTTCTCTGGAATTACCTTCCCGTCATTTCACCACCTCTCTTCCCCCCATCTCTGTGCCACCCTCCCCCATAAATGTGCTGAGATAGAATGAAAGAAAATACAAATCCTACTAAACTTCACTGAGGTCTGAGCCCCAGAAGGCTAAGTGGCTTATTAGAAAGCACCCTAATCCTGGGGGATTTTTTGTTTTGAGTTAGGGATCTCACTCTTGCCCAGGTTGGAGTGCAGTGGCACAGTCACAGCTCACCGCAGTCTTGACCTGGGCTCAAGTGATTCTCCTGCCTCAACCTCCCAAATAGCTGGGAATACAGGCATGCATCACCACGCCTGGCTAATATTTTGATTTATTGTAGAGATGAGGTCTTGCCAAGTTGCCCAGGCTGGTCTCAAATTCCTGGGCTCAAGCAATTCTCCCACCTCAGCCTCCCAAAGTCCTGGGATTACAGGTGTGAGCCACCACACCTAGCCTGGGATTTCTAAGACTGGGCTCAAGCCTAGCATCCACCTCTTCCTATGACCCTAGAGACTCTACCTAACCTGTCTGGACCTGTTTCATTGCCTGTGGGTTGAATATCACCTGCTACCTTCTTCACCGTCCTGATATAAGGACCAAATGGAATAATGGATAGGAAGATAAAGTATAAAATTGTTTCACCACAGGTTGGTATTATTTATTATACTACCTGACTCTTCCAGGGACTGTGTGCCCAGTAGGTGGACTGGCTAGGGAGAAAATCATTCCTAGAAACCCACGAAGGCTTTTAGGGGGAAGACCTGTGATCTTAAAGTCACCCCAAGTAGGGCAGGTGTGGTAGCTAATGCCTGTAATCCCAGGACTTTTGGAGGCCAAGGCAAGAAGATTGCCTGAGCCCAGGGGTTTGAGACTAGCTGAGACAATTTGGCAAGACCTCATCTCTACAATAAATAAAAAATTTAGCCAGGTGTGGTGGCGTGTGCCTATAGTTCCAGTTACTTGGAAGGCTGAAAGAAGGATCACCTGAGCCCAGCAAGTGGAGGCTTCAGTAGCTGTGATCATGCCACTCACTGCACTGCAGCCTGGGCAACAGAGTGAGACTCCAACTAAAAAAAAAAAAAAAAAACCACCCCAAGTAGAGTGGGCACAATGGCTCATGACTGTGATCCCAGCACTTTGGGAGGCCAAAGTGAGAGGATTATTTGAGCCCAGGAGTTTGAGACTAGTCTGAGCAATATAGTTAGACCTTGTCTCCACAAGAAATGACCCCAGGTATGCTGGCCTGTGCCTGTGGTCCCAGCTACGCCAGAGGCTGAGGCGGAAGGATCGCCTGAACCCAGGAGGTCAAGGCTGTAGTGAACTGTGATCGTGCCACTGCACTCCAACCTAGGCAAAAAAGTGAGACAGAATCCAACTCAAAAAAAAAAAAATCACTCCTAGTAGGCTACTGACCTACCTTCTGTAATGCTCACTTTTA